CGAAGATCTGCATTCTCCGGAAAGAAAAGAGAATTCGTCAGAGTTTAAATTCTCTCCTTTTTATTTTTTTTTAATTTAAAGGGAAATATGGAAGGTTAAGGTGTTAGTTTAGAAATACAAAAGGAGAATTAGAATATTAAATAGAAAATAACAATTTAAAATATTACTGTTATGAATAAAATATTGCAGTAATAAAAATGTTTGTTTGAAATGTAAAAATGGAGAGAGCATCTCACAGTAGAAGCAAATACATAAGGAAAGATTAGGAAGTAGAAGAATATACTGCAGTATATGCCAGTATATTTAAAATGATCAATCTCTTTGCCACCTTTTATTCTAACATTGTTTCCCACTAAGGCATTCTTTGGAAAGAGAATTTTTGTTTGACGTATTTCCCTAACAGTTTTTATTGTATATATGAGTATGTGTGTGGTATTAGTTTTCTGCTGTACTACCCACTACTGAGAGACTCTTATTTTTGTTTGCATAATAAAGCCCATAATAGCCATGGATTAGCTAAATTGTATGTGATAACAGATTGGGAAGAAGTGAATGATGAAGATATAAGACACCACATGTGTATTAGTTTCATATGAATTATTTCTTGTGAAGTTGATGAAAAGTAGATTGGAAGAACAAGGACGCAGTGAAAGGAACTTCATGTGAGAGACTACCATAAATGACTAATGGTTTAAGATAAAGATAATCTGTGAGAGTTAGTGTTCAGGCTTGATTCATGTTTTATAAACCATGTGAAAAACTTAGTGTGTCCTTGGATGAAATATGAGACGTTTGTGGTCTACAGGATAAAAATACAAGTTGAAATACGAAATCAGTTATCTGTACAGAACTACACTTAAACCAGAGTTACACAAATATTTTATAAATATGCAAATATTTTATAAATAGAAAACATCTGAATAAGCACATTCACTTTGATCTGAAAAAGTAAAATATACTAGAATTCAAAAATCTCTAGTAATTTTATCAGAGTAATTAATGAAGGGATATAAATGGGTCAGATTTTAAGGCATGTTAACACATAAATGGATGATTGTGCCCTTTACTTAATTTCTGTAATATTCAAAATACTAACAGAAAATTAATTTCATGCTTTTATAAATAGCTACATTTGAACCAGGGTGTGTTTATGCATGCATAAAAGAGGCTATAAAATTAAGGCAGCTTTTAAAGATGGCACATTTTAGCTATCATGAACAGAGCATTATAAGCCTGTAATCTGCTCCCCCAGACATAACTGTCTGATGAGCAGTTTGCAAGATTCATCCAGTAGTAATGGTGGAGATAACAACCCGAATAGCTCGGAGTTACGTGCAATTGAGAAGGTAAACACCTACCTTTCATCACAGGTTACGATTTTTCAGGTAGTTGAGTTGGGTTTGAAGTATCTGCACCTCTTCAAAGGATGATCCATACACGAGCGGCCTGGTTGTGCTGAAATCTCTTAACTGCCCATGTAGAAAGCACAGAAGGGCTTGCTTTACACAGACTCATAAAATGGTTTAGGTTGGAAGGGACCTCTAGAGACCATCTAGTCCAGACCCCCTGCACAAGCAGGAATACCTGGAGCACATGGCACAGGGTGGTGTCCAGGCAGGTTTTGGAGATCTCCAGAGAAGGAGCCTCTACAACCTCTCTGGGCAGCCTGTTCCAGGGCTCTGTCACCCTCACAGGAAGGAAGTTCTTACTCATATGGAGGAGGAACTTCCTGTTTATCACCTTACCCCCGTTCCCCCTTGTCGTGTCACCAGCCACCATGGAGAAGAGCCTGGCCCCATCCTCCTTACGGTCACCCCTCAGGTATTTGAACACGTTGACCAAATCTCCTCTCAGTCGTCTTTTCTCCAGACTAAACAGGCCCAGCTCGCTTAGTCTTTCCTGACATGACAAATGCTCCAGTCCCTTAATCATCTTCGTGGCTCTCCACTGGACCCTCCCTAGGTGCTCAATGTCCTTCTTGTACTGAGGAGCCCAGAACCGCACCCAATGCTACAAGTGCAGCCTCACCAGAGCTCAGTAGAAGGGCAGGATCCCCTCCCTCGACCTGCTGGCAACACTCCTCCTGATGCAGGCCAGGATCCCCTTGGCCTTCTTGGCCATGAGGGCACATTGCTGCCTCATGGTTACCCTGTTGTCAACCAGGACTCCCAAATCCTTCTCCTAAGAGCTGCTTTCCAGCAGGTCAACCCCTGATCTGTCCTGGTGCCTGGGGTTATTCCTTCCCAGGTGCAGGACCCTGCACTTGTCCTTGCTTTAGGATGAGCCCAAATTCCCTTGTAGCAGTGGTTAACAGAGGTTCTGCAGGATTCCTTCTCTGGAAGGTGGAAGCTTCAGGGAAATTTCCCAACAAAACCATTGAGGAAAAGCTCCATTTTCGGATGGTTCTCCCTTGTACTTCCAGGAGTAGCTTTGAGATCTTAAAATCTTCTGTTTTTTTTTTTCTGTTTAGGCTATGCTCTCATCTCTGTATAAATCACACTTCTGTAGTATCTAAGCATAGTTTATGTAGTATCTAAAAATCTCTTATTCTTTATAGTTTTAGGGTAGAAACGTCTGGGGGTTGTTTGCAGTCGCGAGGAGTAGTGCTGTTTATATATAGTTTTATCAGGCTGAGTAAGTTTGTTCCTGACTTCAAGGATATAAGCCATCCTGCTACAGGGCCAGCTTTTCTTGGAGTTTCTCACAGATTGGCTGCAGTTGGGGACAGCGAATGCTTGAGCATTTGAGAGAACTTTAATCAATTTGTTTTCTCCATATTATGCTGCTCTTTTTTTTGATAGGAAAGGCTTGTTTCTAATTTCATTTAAACAACCTTTTTTTTTTAAAAAAAGAATACATGAAATGTACTATTTTAAGGTTACGCGACTAGAAATTAAATGCTGGGGGAAATTAAGTTAGATGAGATTCTGTAACTGATACATTGATGTAGTTTAGTGTGTGTGAACTGACAGCACATTTAGGTTATGTTCTTGGTAGTAGTTCCTTTTTAGCAAGATGTACTGAAAGAAAGAACTATACCTTGTTTAGGTAAATTTTATTCGTTTATTTAAAATTAAAATTTATCTTAACTTTGGGGGAAAGTAAACTGGAATTTTTGCCATTAAAAGGTTCATTAGAATAAGTAAGCAAATTTGAGTAATAATAAGGAGCTTAATCTGTTTTACAGGATCTCTTTTCAATCAATGCTTATGTTTATGCCCAGAAGCCACAGCTGGATATTCACAGTTTTGAAGGTACCTTCACACGGGTAAGTAGTATCTGTAAATAAGTTCTGCTGCTTTTCAATTTTTTTCCAGTGTAATGTACTTCAGAGTCTAAGTTGGACCTGATCTTTCCTTAGCTTTGCAAGAGAATTTTCCACGTTCCTGCTGCAGGAATAGCTTGTATACATGATATTTTGGTAAACATATATAGAAGTAAATCAAGACCAAAAGCGTATCTTTATCTGAAAAAAGGCAGAATCCAAGAACTGGATATTTGACCACATGATAATGCTTTTAAACCATTTATACATCAATATATGTCTGTTTATCTCCAAACGTCTTATGTATGGATTATATATATCAGAACATGCTGCAGATTGAATATATTCAGTAGCCTGATACAATGCAAGTGCTAGTTTTATTGGCAATAAAAAGATGCCTTGTTTAGCACATGCCTTTTCAAGGAAAAGGCTGAACTTTGGAAATATTAGCAATTTTTAAAAATAAAATAAAGCCCCTTGCAGGGAGTTATTACTTTTTTCTTTTTTTATGGCATTCTCACAAGGCAACTGTTAAAGTTAACCCTTTAAAGCAGTGTATCCTAATAGTTATCAAAAAAAAAATTCCAAACAAACAAAAAAACCTACAGATTTATACTGCTGTATTAGCAGACGTAGTGATTGTTTATATATTAGCCAGACTCTTGATAGTTTCAGGTACTGAAATGTCTTGCTAGAATTAACTACTGTGGAGTTGAAGAGAAGGCTTATTTTTGACCCAAGTGCCTTAAGTTGGAAACAAATTTTGCTCAGGAATTGGAATTCTATTCACACCTCCAAGTTCTTTGATGAACGAGATATTGCAATTGTTGGCTGCTGAAGACCAGTTTGTACCTGTTCATGCTGCCTATGTAGTACATGTCACTTGCCCACAACTTAGCAAAGTTGCAAGAAACTATGATTACTTAAACTTCATATTGATCAATTGTCCAAATGAAACTTCTATTAACAGCTGTAAATTTCATGCTATTCCCATCACAATGGCTAGACATATACTTTTCCAAATAAAAACTGAAATCCTCAGAGCCTTTTTAACAACTCCAATATGTGTAATTCAGGCATCGGGAAATTATGGTTAAGCAGTTGCTCCTCGTTGTGGATTCCATTTGTACCTGTAATAAGAGCAGTATTCTTCAAGCGTTCCTGATAAGTGTTAATAACCCTGATCTATCTTAGGCTTTGAGGTTTGCAGATGCATTGTTTTGACTGCTTATGAAGGATGAGTCATTCAAACTGAATTTGTATGTGCATGCAGCTGAGGGCAGGGCCCTCAGATTTGGATGTGTGACACTGTACACATTTATCATTTTTCGATGCTTTTTTGTTACCTTATGCACAGTGAAATTTGGCAGAGTTTGATGTTGCTTTAGGACACTTATTTACTGATTTATCTTTCCCATTCAACTGTGAACCCTTGCTTGTTACACTGAATCAGTTTTTGCATCTAATTTCTGTTTTATGTTAAAGTAAAAAAAATAGTGTGCTTAGTGATGCTAATGCATACATTTTTCTTACTTAGGCATTGATGTTCAAAGAATTCTTGCAAGGGTAGGTTGACAGAGTAATAGCCCATTGATTTTTTTTTTTCTTTTTTTTCCTCTTCATTATGAAGACAGACTGCTAACAATGTCGAAGACAAACTTAGATAATTTCAAAAAGTGCATGGCCATTAAAAAGAAACAAGAAAGTTAGGCACAGAGCTGTAGAATTTTTACGTGGGAACAACTTCTTTCAATTACTTGTATGTGAGAAGTATTCACCACTAGCCTGATATTTGACAGAATGCACCATCTGTAGTGTGCCAGCATAGCTACATCAGGAGGAGTTAAAGCTCTCTTGTACCCTTTCCTGTCTGCCAGCTTCATATGCAGCCGTTTTCCTTTCCTCCTCTGTGCCTTTTAATGCTTTATAGGCAGTCAGTGCCCTTGCATGGGCACACAGGAAGGATCACATCTGGCCCTTAAATGGTAATCGAAATTAATCCTCCTCCTCCTCCAGTCCCCCCCTTTCTTAGACCTTCTGCCAAGAAGTGAGAGATTAGTTAGCTGGGTTTCATGTGTGTGTGTGAACATTAGATCGTTATTTTATTTGTTCTCAGGGCATCATGCATATCATGTCTGGATATGGAGTATCAGAGTAAGGATTCGCGCAAACACGAGTATGAGAGGATTTCGCTCTGACCCTTAGGAAGCTATTTCACCAGTTCTGAAAAAGCATGATAAAAACGTCGATCTATAGAAAGAGAAGTCTAAGCTAGCCATACTTCTTAGCCCAACTTCTAGTAGTTGCAGCCAAAATAATGCTGTGGAGCATTACATCAGTGTGTATTGGCATGCCCAGGATTACTTATATCTTTTAAGGATTTCTCTTCAGTATCATGGAAACTGTCTCTTTCCTGCTTTTATCATGGCTAGTTTTCATTTAAATTTGGCTCCTTTTTCATCATTCACCTTAATCCTTTCCTTTGGGAATATCTTTAAATCTTAAGTTCTTTCTCTAGCTGAAAAGTCAGGGAATTGATTACTTTGAGATTGGTTAATGCACTGTAAATTTACTATGACACAAAACTATTTGGCATGATTTTTCCAATATTATCATTTACTAGCTCAAGTATTTAAAAAAATGTATAGAAATATAAAGCTGTTGCATGTAGCTGTTGATGCTTTGGAAGACTATATACAGAGTTGTGAGCATGGCGTGTTTGCAGTTTGTGAGCATGAGTGTGAGCATGTTTGTGTTGCATCTAATGGCTACTGGAGTTTTGCTGTGGCTTTTGGACAGTTGTGTTGTGAATTTAGGGCTGAGAGCAGGTAATATTTATTTCTGTTTCATAGGTCATCTGTCCTTTTTGCCCTGCTCATCCAAGAGTTATAGATAAATCTCCTAGAACAGGAATCGTAGAGAATATGTACTTTGTGATCCATAAGTGATGTCAAGAACAGAGCATAAGTTGGAAATCTCAAATGCAGTAGTGAGAATCGCATTATTTTGGTAATGATCTTAAATCAGAATTTAAAAAGCAATAAGCATATAGCTACCTAATGAGATTTAACCCAAGCAGACCTTCAGTAGAAGTTATGTCAGCCGGATCAAAATACTATTGGGTATCAGTTTCCTACTGCTTGACTGAATTGTGGTTTTGTTTGTTCCACAAAATATTCTTCTGATAACTAGAGTAACATTCTGAAAATCTGCAGACCACTTTCCTGCACTGCTGACTCAGTCTCATTCAGGAACTAGTCTTTGTCCCCTCTCTGCTTCTCCTACCTTCCTCTCCCTGCTTTCTCCTCCAAAAAGTAAGCAGAATTACAAAGAGAAGCAAGTAAAAGCTAACTTGATTGGCTGGACCATTCTCTTGATAAGCATGGCATTCATGGAAAGAGAATGATTTTGAATGTCTTAAAGGAGATGTTTCCCTGGCATCTGTGACTGGCTGTTAGATGCAGGGCAAGTGGCTTTTTCTTGCTTGGGTCTATTGTTAGACCCCTCAGGTGCTGCAGAGCTTTTGGGTTCAGCTAAGTGTGCCAAAACTTCACTTGATTGTCTTAACTTAATATGCTAGGTCAGAAAAGGAGTTTCTGGATTAATATGTTATTTCTGACAAGACTCAGGAGCAGACTGGCGCTTTTGGAGTGGTAGTGCTCTCCTGCCCCTTAATCTGTAGTGTAAGAACTTCCCTAGCCAGACCTGGTTTCCATCAGTAACCTTCACTGAATTTCTCCTCTTTAAACTTGTCCAGCTCTCCCTGAAACCTGTGTAACTTTTTGACATGCAGAGAGTAAGGAGGTCTGCAGGTTAATTACGTATTTTATGAAGTACAGTAGCCTTAATTGTTTTAATTCTGCTGACTTGACTTGGAACTACTTTATTGTGCTGAAAGAGACTGCAAGCAAGCAGGATCCTCCCTTTCTATTACTAGTCATTTTGTAGGTGTCTGTCGTGTCTGATTAGAGTCCTGGTTTAATCAGTCAGATCTAGTATGGAAGCTCCTTTGACCACCCTTGTTGTACTTTTGAACACTTACCAGGTCTTTTTGTATTTTCTGTTTGGAGTAGGGAGAGATTAGAAATGCAGATGTAAGGTGTGGGTAAACCATGGTTTTCTGTGTAGTGCATAATAATATTTTGGATTGTCCGTTCACCCCTGTAGATTCTTAGGAGTCAACTTGTTCTTAGCCTATTACTGAGCTGGTAAGATAGTGGATTGGTAATAAATCCCGAATGGGTTGTCTGTGTGGTTATGATCAGCTCAGAGCTCATCACCATGTGTGCGAAGTTGGGGTGTTTGGTTCTGTGTGTGCATCACCTTACGTTTCACTGTATGGAATTTCATCTGCCCACTCCCCCAGAGCGCGTCTGAAATTTTCCTTGCTCTGTTGCCTCGCTGGCCGTTCCAGCGGCTTCTAGGTTGTTTGAGTAGCGGGAGTCTGAGGTGTTTTCTGCACAACTCAGTGATGGGCTACCTTCACTGTCAAAAAAATAAATCCCATCTACTTTCATTTTTGTTATTTTTTTAAGCTGTTGTCTTATTATTTATCCATTAAAGGACTTTTCATTGTATCCCATGGCTGTTTAGTCTCCTGCAGTGTACTAACCTTCAGTATTAGTCCACTGTCATTATTAAATCATGTATGCTTTTGTTTGGCTGCTTTGTTTTGAAGTCTGATTTTAGTCTCACCTGAAAGTATATAAAAGTATAAAAGTATACATAAAAGTATAAAAAAGCACTTCTGTAGCATAGCTGCGAACAGACTTCTGAATTTTACAGCTTTTCTCTAGATCTATATGTTAATTTTGTACTAATGTCTAATCAAAGTAAAATGCTTCTACCAAAATTCTGATTTTTTTTTTCTTCTTGCTAAAAATCAAGGTAATGCAAAAATTCTGCGTACATCTGTACGACTGGTTTTAGTCTGTGGTAGACAGGAAATTGCATCTTTGAGTGTTATGGCAGTGTGGATTTCTTTGGTAGTCCTTTAGAGGACAGCAGGTATTCTTCATATGCTTTCTTCAGGTTTTTGATGACAAAATACAAAAACTGTTTCATGTATTGAGACTAAATTCATCTCAAATATGTGGCTCATGTCTGGATTTTGTTTGTAAAGAATTGGCCCCTTTTCTTCAGTTCTGTTGGGTTCCAGTGGTTGGTTGAAGCACGTAGCCTCTGGGATCAGCGCTGCAGTAACACAGCTCGTCCTCTGTTCCTGCCAAGAGGCCCCTCTGACAAACTGTCATGAGCTGCTCTAGGATGCACCATAGTTCATACACATTTAAAAAAAAATAAATGTTTCATAAGGAAGCTGGCTCTTTGCAGAGATGGTGACAGCGCTGTAGCCAGTGTCAGAAAAAGATGTGTGAAGGCTCAGTATCACCAGAGGCGGCTGATCTCCTTCTGCTGAGAAAGGCAGTTTTGCCAGAGCCAAGAATGTGTTGTTGTGAAGGGAATTTCAGTGTCCAAAGAGCTTTCAACTTCCCTCATTTCCTTCTGATTTGATTCAAAGCACATTATGGGTATAAATTAAAACATGAAGTTCCACCTCCAAGTGAGGAAGAACTTCTTTCCTGTGAGGGTGACAGAGCCCTGGAACAGGCTGCCCAGAGAGGTTGTGGAGTCTCCCTCTCTGGAGATCTTCAAAACCCGCCTGGATGCCACCCTGTGCCACGTGCTCCAGGTGCCCCTGCTTGAACGGGGGGATTGGACTAGATGATCTCTAGAGGTCCCTTCTGACCTCTAGAGAGATCATTCTGTGGTTCTGTGAAAGACTGGCAGCACTGAAGGTCAGAATTAGACAAAAATTAAATAATTATATTTAAAACCCTGCTTCTTAGATCTGTTGGTCTTCTGCACAAGCTAGGATTTTGGTTCCTCAATCCACGTCCTGGGGGAAGTTTTTCAGTGTGGAACATCACGATAAGGTAGTGGTTCTCAACAACCATTCCCAGCTCTTACCATCTCTCCACCTCTTTCCCCCAACAGAAGGGTGTGGAATGGTGCAGCACATCTCAACCTTGATGTGGCAGAACTAGTGAGTAGTAAGGAAACTTTGGGTCTTTCTTGGCTTCCAACTTGAAAAGCCACAAAGCCATTGTTTTTCAGTATTTACTCTGATAACAGTTTGACATGGATAGTTCTTCTAAGTATCAAGGGAACTGAGAGAAAGAGATGTAGTATAAATCTTAGGTGACCCTTGTATGAAACAACCTCCTCACAATTAGCTGCTCCAGGTATCTTGTATGAAAAGCAGAAATACTTGAGCTGTCAAGCTTTGACAGGTGTTTAACGAGAACCCTACTTATGTCCTCATGTGAAGTTGGCATGTTTTAGGAGGACATTGCTTTTGTCTTCCTAAATATTTTGCAACTTTTGATCCTAGTACTAGATCTTCATATGTATCTATCTCCTCTATCAGCTAGGGTTTAAATTTGAAGTAATCTATTTCTTTTACAGAAGGAGAAGCATATTCTTTTGACATGTAAATACCATATTCTCTTACCTGAAGCAAAACATACAGCTTTAATATCTTTAAAATTCTGTAGAAACACTAGTGTCAAGTTTATTTTGTTATTATGTAGCATGAGATTGAAACTCCCTTCTGCTTTTTATAGTATTCCCAAATTATTGATAATTCCTGCATGAAGTGTAATTTTATTTTTGTTAGACTGCAGCTTCTGGTTATTTTTGTCTCAAACCAAATGCATTTTCATTCGTAGCATTTTGGCAAACAACTGCTGTACATTTAATTCTCTAGGTAAGAATCCAGAAATATCTCTTTTTTGCTGAAATATCTCCTTTTTTGTTGTTCAGTCAGGATGTATTTTTTAAGAACACTGACAGTTCTTGGTGGAAATCTCCCTTCTTGTATGAGTCTTGATTCCAAAAGCTGTGTTTTTTTTATTTTTAGCTAATACCATTAGCCTCTTTCTCCTTACTCCCCCCTCCTTTTTCTTTTTGTGTTCAGAAGGAACTTTATGCCTTTTAAACAACAATTTTACTTTATTTAGGAGAAAGACTATTGTTTCCTTGCTATGTGTAAGGATCTTTTGAAGTATGCATGCAAATATGTCTGCTTATTTGGAGATTTTCCTTTTGTTAAAAACAAAGAAGTTTCTAAACACCCGGTGCTATATTTGGCAGCTCATTGAAAACTGAGTTCAGAGACGGATACAGTTTTTGTTATTGATATTATATAGAATTTTTTACTCACCATGGTCATCATTTGCTCCCTTTTTCCAGCTTTCTGCACAGTGTTTCAAGTGATCTATAATTTGATCAGTTGCACTTAAATATTTGTTTCCTAAAGGTTCCTTCAGTTCAGGGGACCTGCAAACAGCACATTTCACAGCTGCTAATGAACAACAAATCCGTACATGTTCCAGATTCTACATAGACTTAATCTGTCATCAGTCTGTAGACCATTATTGCTTGGGAGAAGAGAGGAGAAGAAAAAAAGAAAGAAAAGAGAAGTTTAAATAATCATGGGACCACTTTCCTATTAGAAGTATTTTTTTTTTCTATTGGAGATATATTTTAGAATTGTGTGATAATACAATGCAAATATACTTTTATTTTTAGAAGTCTAAATATTCTTCTCTGAAGTTGGTGTGGTGTCACTAAGTTTCCAAAATGATGACATCCATACTTATCATATGAACTATAGATAATTAACCTTGTCAGAGAGAACAGGGTATTAATTTTTGATGCTTAGTGTTCTTAACTCACCTTAACTGCTTTGCAGAATAAGCTCTTCTGTGTGTGGATACAATAGAAGATAAGGACATGTGCCTTTAAAAGCACTGTTGACTTTAGCTGTTTTCTGAACATAATTAGATTTAAGTAATATTAACTTTAATCACTCTTTCTCTTTTTTGGAAAATTTATGTGTGTGTGCACTCAAATGTATATGTGTGTGAATATGCATATGTACATTCATATATATAGGCAGTGAATACTATTATACATTGGTTAATAGAAGAATGCAGACATCATGTTATCATTCAGATGGTTTGGCAATATTTTCAACTATGACTATTGGTAGTAATTTTGATTTACTAGCTGTTTGTGTGTTTTTAACAGGAAGACAGTGATCCAGCAGTTCATGAAAGCCTTAGCATAGAAAATACATTATGGGCAAGCACTGTTGTTGCTTCAGGTAAGTGTTGAATATCAAAGATGATTATGTAATTAAAACTCCTCTGTGGAAGTTTATCTTTATTTTACATTGTGAAATACTAATGACTTTTGAAAATCTTTGTGTGTCTCTGGCTATTAACTCATACTGCTAACCATCTGTCTTTCTCATGCCTTCCTCACCATGTTTTCATGTCTTTCTAATCCTTCTTAATAGGTTTTTATACTTGAGTTTTGCTGTTTCAGTTGTGCTGTCCTTTGTGCCGTAACTTAAGCCATTGACCTTTTTCTTTTAATTAAAATTTCAGGTTATACTTAGCTGTTTGTTTAGCTCAATGTAGCTAGCGTCATGCTGAAAAGCAAGGCATTAAGAATTTTTCTGAGTACTCTGTGCTGAGGTTAAAGCTGGATGAAAATGTTATCAACAAAAATCTTAATCAGAAAGTATTAATCAGTTATACATCTGTGTAACTTCATTGAGGTGCTCACATGAAGTACTGCTAATATTTAGACTCTATTGTTCTAATGCATTCTCATCAGATACCATATTTAGATGGTCATTGTTATGTGTGTGTTTCTTTCTTATTATAAGAGCTGGAAATTACTTTTTTTGGTGTTTACTCTAGACAAGAAAAGTCAAAGGGACTGTAGAAAGGAGGCTAGCTATTCTGCAAAAATTCTTGAGAATAGCAAATTGGGAGAGGAAGAATTTTGAAAAGGACCTGGAATTCTTAGATGGGGAATCAGAACGACTGGGTCTTCCAACTCCTTCAAGTTTAAGGAGATTGTAGAGGAAACTGAGCACTACTTTCTAAAATCTGAAAAATCATGGTATTCTTTGATGTTCAGCATTGTCTGTGTTTAATTTGCAAATTAGTTTCCTAGGGAAACTCAAATTCTCTAAAATTATTCTGTCAAAGGGATGATGTTTACAGTTGTCATCAGGTATCATGTTAACTTAAGTAGCCAAGATCTGTAAATGTCCATCAAAAGCTTCTAATTATATATTTAAATAATGTATAAACTTGCTTTTTCTCTCTGATCTATACACAGAAGAGAAAAAAAACCCTAAAAACTAGAAGAATGTACATTTGTAAATCAGTAATTCTGAAATTAGGAAATTCTGACTTTTTTTTTCTGTTGAAAGCTATTCATGTTTTTGTTTTGAGGGTGACTTGATTTTTGTTTTAAAGTGTACCCAAAGACTGAGAACCCTTGAACTGACTCTCTGAAGCTGTCCCTCAAATTAGTGGCAACATTGATCCTTAAAGTTTGTGCCCTAACTCACCGCCTGAAAGAATACGAAATAAAGATATTACGACTTTTTGTCTGAGAGATTTAATTTTTCTTGAGGACTTGGATTCATTATTAATAAAGACACTAAAAAAGTGGAAAGATAATTGTCTTTTCTGAACATAAGGTCTTTTGTCTGAACATATTTTAGATGTTGTGATAGGATACTTCAGGGGAAAAATACTCCATTTCTCTCCAAGATCTCAGCCCTTTATGAAGATAAAATATGACATTATCATGTACCAAAAAATAGTGTCATAGTCTGCATACATATTTTGGTTTCATTTCATAGAAATTAATTTAATTGCATGGGAAACTTCATTGCATTACTGATTTTGTGGCATTAAAGTCCTGTAAATCTAAACTTCAGCCTGTCACTCATTCTATGTATCTGCTCTTTCACATTAAGCACAGTTTCCTGCTGTGATAACACGCTGCTCCCATGTAGGTACTGCAGACAGCTGTCTGGCATATACGACTTCTCTTGGCCATTTGCTGGGTCTCTGTGCTATCTTAAATCCAGATCCAGATCTTGAACTGAAGTCTTCAGTTCATCTAATGAAGAATTTATAAGTTCTTATAGGTGCACTGGGCATAGAATTGTGAAGAATACCACAAGGCAGAAGGATCAGGAAATTGAGAGAGATGTTCTGGTTTTGGTGGTAGATGAGGTATCATTCGTCTCACTTCCAAGGTGACTGGTACATAGCCAAGTTAGGATACTTGATACTGAGCTAATTCAATTTGAATTTCATAGTATAAAAAAAACTAGACTTTATAATTGAATTTCAAAGGTTTGTGAGACCTAGGAATCTTGTTAATAAAGCACTTGGCACTGGCTGGTAGCAGCATTATAAACTGCCTTGCTTGGAGCCTACTGAGTCATGCAGAGGCAGAAGCACATTATATAAGTTTGCAAGTACCTCTGTTTTCCGGGTACCCACAATGAGTCCATTACAATCCTTGATTAAGTCTTGCATATACAATAGAAGGTTGTGAGGATTAAGGTTGTGGGCAACTGTCATAGCAATTCCACGAAACCAGACGAATAAGCAACTGGTAGCATGTGAGGGAAACCCTGTGCTGTTCCTCTTCTGAGAGTCCCCTTTCTAGATTGCTACTTTGTCTCACCCCCTCTTGCATCTTAATTTAATCTGGTTACAGTCTGGGCTCGCAGCTTTGTTGTACCCAGGCAACCAAGAGCATAGGGTGATTGTGTGCTAACCTAATCTTGCATTACTTTGCCACTTTGATTCAAGAAAGCGGATGTGCAGCCTGTGCCAAGACAGTGGAGGACCAAGTTCTGCCCTGCAACATCACGAATTCATCATTGCTGTTACCACTGTCCCGTAGAGTCTTCCTTATGGCCTCAGTGCTTGGGTGCTGCTTCGCCCAATACTCTAAGTACCTTGGGTATCAGCTGTTAGTAAGCAGAGTGAGTACATCACCTGTGTTACACACAGCACTTGGGACTGCTGTGGTATCTTTGCCAACCTCTTGGAGATTGTTGGAAAGCATTTGGGGGTCAAAGCGTGGTGGTGTCTTGGCTGCTGTTGCTTGTCTGTGGTATGGAGAGAGAGAAAGAGAGGACGTTGTCAAGCACACCTAGGAAAGGCGTACACAGTTGAGGTGCTGATTATAAAAAAATAAAAAATAATTAAAAGAAAATTTTGCACAGGAAAAAGGAAAACGGTGGTGGGTAAGGAGCCTCTCTTTCTTGACTTAACATATGCGTTTGGGTAAGGAGCCTCTCTTTCTTGACTTAGCATATGCATCATATTGTGCGTAATTTTTAAAGGGGTAAGATGTCTTATTCTTGTGTGTAAAGACAGTGGATGCTATGATGCAACTACCAGACTTCAATTCAGTTTCATGTTTGCCTTTTTGTTTACTATAAACTTGCACAGTTTAGAAGGGAAACATGTAGTTTCATAGCATTAGGTACAAGCAAGATTGATGTGATACAAGATCAAGAAACAGCAAGGAAAAGAATAGACCAAGAATGGTATCTGAGAAGTAACTTAGTTGTACAAGAAAAAGCAGGAGGAAATGCTTTTTTATTGGGACTCCTATTGCTTTCACTCCATGGGTGGTTTGCTGGATTGTTTCCATTAAGCCTTTTCCTGTATGTTCTCCTTCGGCAGTAGTGTTTGTCAGACTTGTTCTCTTCCCTTATTCTCAATGCTTTCTCTTTTTAAAGCCCTCCTGATCTCACACATAGATGCCCTTATTCTGGAAGCTGGGAGGAGAGTAATTAAGAGGGAAGTAGGAGGAGATGAAAGCAGCAGAGTAGTGATTGCAAGCGTTCCCTCTGTGAATCCCCTTGGCAGTGGAGGCTGAAATTGAGTTCATTCAGCCATTGGCCAGTCTATGTTGATCTGAATTTACATCCTAAGAAAAAATCATTGCCAAGGATCAGGACAGTGGGGCAGAGATCTGCTAGGATGTTTCTTCCAAACTTTGCCCTTTGTGCTCCTGAGAACCCCTTCCATTGAAGCCACTGTTTCTCAGCCACAGCCCATTTTCATCCTTTGAGTGTTTAAGTGCTGAATTTCCCATCTTTTCCTTTGGAGTATTATACAAAGCATGTTGCCTTAGGGGTAGGAGAGCCTAATATCCCCAAGCTGCTATCAGTTAAGTGATATGAAGGGTCAAGGTCAAGACAGGAAAGATGTTAGGCAAATTATGTAGGGAATACCTGACAAAGCTTCAGCTCCGGTTGTTGCTATATCAAAAGTTTTAGAGGAGAGAGACCACAAATCAATAATTTTGAAGATCAGTGACAGTAAGTGTAACTATATAAAGGATTCGGTGAGTCTTATCAACTGCCTGTTAAGTCCAGAATGCAAAAGCTCATGTAAATGTCAGGATGCTGCAATAAAGAGATCTTTCTGAGAAAAGGGTCCTCTTGATAGAACAGTAAGAATCCCAAGAAAAATATTTCCTGTAAGAGTAGCTTTATTTTCTTTCTAATTTTGGGAACCAAAAATTAGTTTGAGCAAAATTGTATGCTGTCCCATCAAGAACATAATTCTGTGCTACCTCTTTATAAAGTTTGGGAGAGTAAGATTTCTCAAATTTGTATACTTGGGAGGTGTTGACTTCAACTGATTTTGGTATTGTCTCCTAATCTCTTAAAATAAAGGCAAGCTAAATTAAAAAGCATTTCTATCATCATTTTGTTGCAACAGGTAGATCTTGTATTATGCATCCTGATGTTCTAATTTCAAAACTAAAAGTTTAGTTATGTAAATGGAGTTCATTATTCCTGACAAATTTGAAGTGATTTTTGCTCGTAGCTATAGTAAAACCCTGACAGAGACTTGTACACTGTGTGCAAACATTAATTTGACCTGCAAAGGCTGTTTAGCTTTAAGTTTTTGGTAGAGCGGGAAATCAAAGCCAGCATAAAGCCATTCTTATGGTGTTCTTAAAGAAAAGAGCAAAAAAATTATTCCAACTTTAAGCAAATTTTTCATTTGCTGGTTAGATATTACTTTTTTTTTTAATACCCTCTGAAGGAAAGGAAGTTTTTAGTTAGTGAAAGCTTCATAAAATACAGCCCCAGAAGAAACAACTTTAACTTACAGCTGAAGAATTTAAGCCATTAAATATTTTGAAAACCTTTTTTTATGTTTAATTCATTCTAAATCATATAAATGATTAGTTTGTGATATCTCTTGTTGTGGTATTTATTTGTTGAAGTTTTTGGTAGATTTTCTTTTGAAAAGGAACAGAGGGAGTCCTCAGTTAAGTTTTCAAGAGGACATTTTGGACATTGGTTTGGAGACCAGCAAAAGAGCTCAGAATTTATGCATTAGACACAAGCCTTATTATGAAAATTGAGAAGAAAAAAAAAAAAGGAGTGTTTTCAGGGTATGTTACTTATATCATAATGTAGATCCCCACATGGAACTGTCAGTAGAGCAAACTAGTTTGGTGGAAAACGTGTCAAGCAAGTCTTGAGAAGAAGACTTAATATGGAGAGGAAAATCCTAGAAAAAGATGTTTTCTAATGGTCCAAAATATAGAATTGCTTGGTTTGTATGTAAATTTCAAGGCATTTCACTTTTGAATAAATGATACTTCCTTTCTTTAATATTGATGTCTTTTCCTTTTATCTTTTGATCTTTATTCTTTGTTTATTCTTTTGAATTTTTATAGTCTGTTATACTACAATAATAGTGATGACAGACCTTGTGTGATTTTAACCATTACATTTAAACTGTTGCTTCCTTTGAAAAGAACAAAAGCAGGCTGTCATTATATGAGTTCAAATTTTAAGAAAGTTCTAATGATCCTTTATTATAGAGTCTAGGTGAAAAGGAAAAAGCTCATGATACAGTGTATATTGCATAAATGTATTTTTCTTATACAACTGATTTCTTTGAAGGACTGCAAATGATTGCAGGCTTTTTTTTTTTTTCTGCAAACTTTTTTCTTAGCTACATATTTGACACCTCAGGTTTATCTTTCTTTTCTTTCTTTTCTTCTCTCCTTGCCCAGGAACTGTAATTGGTGTTGTCATTTACACAGGGAAGGAGACTCGAAGTGTAATGAACACATCCAATCCAAAAAACAAGGTAAGTAATGCTTACTATATGATCTGCTGTCTTTTTTTTTTCCGTAAAACTTAAAATAGGCATACCTAAAGCCAAAGACTAAAAACTTTTATGTGATGTCATGCGTATTTGCTGGATGGACTTCAACTTGTATTACAAGAAGCTATAAGAATTGAATTCATTCTGCCTAGGAGATAAATTATTCTGGGGCTGATTTTTGAAGCAAAATTATTTTTAGAGGTACTGTTTTATTTAAGTAAGACTGAATACCTATGTACTGATGAAAATATTTGTCGCCTAAGTATAAATGTGCATTCTCAGATTTCTGTACTTTCTATACTCTATAGTGTGTTACAGCTAGCTATTAATTTCTGCTTTACAGGAGAAATAGGAGATAAATTATTCTGGGGCTGATTTTTGAAGCAAAATTATTTTTAGAGGTACTGTTTTATTTAAGTAAGACTGAATACCTATGTACTGATGAAAATATTTGTCGCCTAAGTATAAATGTGCATTCTCAGATTTCTGTACTTTCTATACTCTATAGTGTGTTACAGCTAGCTATTAATTTCTGCTTTACAGGAGAAAAAAAGTGTGTATGTATGTATGTGTATGTATATATATATATATATATATATATATATATTAAGGAATACTTAAACTTAAACTTAAAAACTTAAACTTAAAACTTAAACTACTAATAGTTACACTGACTCCCAGAGGAAAAGAGTGAGATAACAGAGGTTACAGTCAGTAACCCAAATGTTCTTCTAGAGATTTTTGCTAGCAGTGGAACCATCTTCAAGAAAGTTATCTGCTGGAGGGATGCCAGAAGGTTCAGTGCTTCCTTCTGTACAAGGTTCTTCCAATTCAAAACAATGCCAATAGCTCTTTGTTTCATCAACAATATATCTAATGTGAATGGGGGGGAAAAATCAGTAATGAAGAAAAAAAACTTCAGTTGTAGACTGTATCTTACCACCAAGGCCTGGGTTTAGTAAGAAGGTACTTAATTGTATTAAGAAAGGAAAAAAAATATTGCAAGAGCTTAAAAAAAAATCAATTGTGACAGGTTGCCATTTTCACGCCATTCATAATAAGTTAGTCTAAGCGGGAACATCAAGAATGAAATGATAATACAAATTGCTTGAAACAGTTATTGCAGTCCCCTGAGTGTATTGATTCGTGTTTCTAATAGAGATGCTTTTAAATGTTTCGTTGACAGACAGGTGATATTTGCCATTATGTGGATTAAAATGGTCTTTTATTATTATAATCTTTGTAACATACATTTTAAAATAATAGACTAAAATGGAATCAGAATGTTTATGGTGCATAATTTTCTCTTCTATCTGATAAAAAAACGAAACTGAGTCCTTTAGTAAAAGAACTACACTATAAAAATTCTGAATAACTTTTGACTAATAAATAATAATCTCACAGGTGTTTGAAATGAAAATATTTAATATAGTAAAGTGATAGTTTACATAACTGTTATGCATTACCAAATTGAATGGACTCAAGGAATATTAGATTTTTAGTAAATGCTTGCCAGTCTTTTGCATGAATGTTTTGCACAGAGAACTTTAAAAGGTTAAGAGGATTAGTTTTCAAAATACTCTGAGAATTCAGAATGACAGTAATATTAAAATGGTTACTCCAGATTTTCATCAGCAAAAGATTAAATAGCGGATAAACCTACAATAAAGATATCCACTAGCATGCTGACAAGCTGCAGTGTGGTTTTTCGTGTTAGGACAATCCATGTACCGCCTTCACTTGCATAATGCTTCAATATTACAGCTGCTAACAATTAAAAGTTGTGTTCTTTCATCTGCAGTGTGAGCATAAATAAATGTATAATTTTCATGGAGCATTAAAAAAGCAAAATGTAACACTGCTTCCTCTACCCTGCCAAAATCTTAATAACAACATCTGGGTTATATCGCAATATCAGTGTAGTGAAGAATATCTAAATAAATTAACTTCACGTGCTTAACATCCGCAATTGATAAAAAAAAAAAAAAAAAAGTGATGCTTTTATAAATAAGCTGTACTCAATAGCTGTCCAAATGATTTTTGAGGAATCATCAATCTTCTAGGGTATGGGGTGCTCCAAGTATGTGCATACATTTGATCTTCGGAGATAAGTCTTTTGTTTTGCACCGCATTTAGCTGGTAGGAATCTACTGAATGCAAAGAAAGAAATATAATATAGGATACATGTAAAATGGCCAGCTTTAAGTATCTGTCTTATTAGTTGCTCTGTTAAACGTTTCAAAAATTCTAACATTAAATTAGAACTGGAAAGGTGTGAAGACTTTCTCTCAAAACTTTTAAAAGACCATACATCAACTCATCTTACACATTAGTTCATAAATGTGAAAATGAGTTCTGTGTGTTTTTCCCCTCTATAAACTGCATGTCCTTACTCAAGCGGTAGTCTGATTTACATGTAGTGTGTAAAGCAAGTAAAGGTGGCTTTGAAAACTGAACTTGCATCACAGAAAACACTATCCCAGATAAGGGATAGGATATAGCATCTCAGTGTGGAAATTAATTATCAACCGAGTGTACATTAATGCATGCATTTTCAACTCTACCATTTTTGTGAAGTTAGCATCTTACTGCATCTGTATCGTCTCCCATGGGATGAGGTGGGTTTGCAGGCTTCTGGAAAGTGAGGCATCTACTGGCTATAGGTACATCTGGCTATAGGTACGTACCATTGGTTGCTGGCCATATACGTACGTACCATATAGGTTGCTGGCAGCAGAGCCAGTAGAACAGCTCAAGTGAGTTCTTTCCTCTGTGGATTGGATTGAGAGAGGGAATCTTCCTGCATTTTCTCAAGTGTGGCAAGTTTTAGACCTTGAGTGGAAGTAAGTGGTTAGGTCTTCCTTGCACTCTGTTGTAAAGAAGAATGCTTCGAAGTATTGTTTGGAGATAGTTTTTACCATGCAGTCATATTCTAGAGATTTGGCTGCAATATGCATTGATGTGCTCTTGTTGGGGGAATAGTTTTGTGGTCCTCCTACCTTTGGAGTTTGGGAGAAAGCGACCACTGAGTCTCAATCCACACTGCCAAACAAAATTCAATTGGAAGGAACTAGCAAGAAATACATGGGCATGTGACTTTGATTACTAGGCTTTTCACTGAAATGCAATTGTAAGATAGATGCTTCAATCCTGTTTCTTATTGGAATATAACGTCGCTGCTGTAGTCGGCCAGAGAAGTGCAGCTTTGCAAACTTGTTTTGTATGCACTGAGGAAAAGACTAAAACTTAATTTTAAGCAAAAATTATGTATCAAAAATTGTGAAATGTGTATATCTGTTCAAGTATGCATGTTGTTTGTTAAACTTAGAATTTATTGTGCTTGCTGAAGTATTTAGTTATTCAGGCAACAATTTTCTTAACTTAAAGTCAACACTTCTGTTTTATTACAATTATAAAAATTGTTTCACTGCCTAAGGATGCAGACACGGTCTGAAAAACATGGAGAGTGAGAAAAGAGAATTTTCATAATAGATCAATTTAATATGTTTTTAATTCCAAACACTATAAAGAAAAATATTCTGACAAGGTTTAATTTCAGTCTAAAATGATATATTTTTTGAGCTTTCAATAAATGTAGCATTGGTAACATCAACATTATTGTAGCATAATGACTCTATGTATTCTACCTCATTGGCAGTCACATCAGCTTACTATGGAATGCAGTTCCAGCTTAAAAAAAAAAAAATCAGATTGAATCGTGCTCTTCACAATGCTGTAATCAGTAATCAATCCTATTTGGATAGATGTGCTTAAACCTTGGCTTTCTAGATGAAGTTGGACTTGTCAATGCTAAAGGTCATTTATAGGTGTTAATTAACCAAGGGGGAAATTAACAAACTACGATTATTTATTTTGTCTGGCATTTTGCAGTGTCCTCATTCTTCCTGTTAAAAGTGCAGAGTAGTTTTTATCTAAATTTGTAACTGCTTTTGCGGTTCTGTTCTTCATAGTAAGCAACTTTGCCAGGACCATACCTCTGTAAAAGTAGACCTGTATCCATCCTTGGAAATAGGTTTTGCAGGTAAAGATGAACGAGCAATATGTACTTGGAAAGAAGGAAGAAATGAATTTGAGACAATATATTGTGCATAGTAAGACTGAAGCATTAAAATTACTTCACCTATGCAGTAAATACATATTCAGAATGTATGTGGTCATGTATCTAAATGTAGAAATGAGTAGAAATATTATAAGTAGGACTACTGAGAAATGAGTAGGGTCTCTTAAGGAGATACAGCATTTAATCTCCCTAGGGTGCTTGAGATTAGTACAAAAGTAGTTTTTATATTGCTAACCCTTGTAAGGAGCATTCAAAACATGTTTTTGCCTTATTTGACAGAAACTGGTATCTGCTCTAATGTATTAATATCAAATATAAAACTTCATAGTAATCATTCAGTATTCATTAAAATAGTAATATTGCTTATTCTTTTCCTTAACTGTTTGGTGGCCTGAAAGTATCTAGTGACCCGATAGAAAGTACTGATAGATACTTTGGATACTTTGCTGATGTGTTTAAAAATGATCGTAGTAGTAGTAGTAGTATTACTTTCTGCTTTTTGTTGCCATTGTCTACTTGAAAACCGATTCACTGATTTGCCAGAAATAATGAATAGTTCTATTCTAGTAAACCTAGGCAAGGTCTCTTTACCTGTCTCTTCCCTGCTGAAAAATTTAATCTTAGTGTTTTGTTGATCAGATCTCTTCATGTAAAATGCTTCTCCCTGCTTATTCTCCTTTCTTCCCCTATTTTACAAGGTTATTGTTCGGAAAGAATTTTATTAAAAAAGGGAAGAAAAAAAAAAAGTCCCTAAAATCTTTTATTTGGAGTGATACATTGGCAGGGCTGCTTTGTCATTCATGTCCTTCCAGAAACCCATACACTTCACCACAAATTTACCCTGTCAGCTTAGGATATTCAGTACTATCATTTCCAACTACTAAAACAAGTAGATTTTCTT